TGGGCAAAACCCAGCACCTTCTGTGATTCCTTCAGAGAATGTGTGCTCCTCAGCTGGCAGCGTATGTGTGCTGCCTGGCTGCCTGCTTTTTGGCTAATGTAAAATGATTTTTATGCTTTGGATGTAACTCGTATTTCACATGCCTTCCTGGTCACTACTTTTCTTTCTCAGTGTGGAAATGCACAGAGAACTTTGGATAATAAATTTATTTTCTCTCTTTGCTTGAATTCAAATGATGGGTCCCCAGGTTGTTGGGGAAGGCTGGAACTGAAGCATCTGACAGAAGAGTGTACTTTCTTTGCTTTAGAAACCAAGAAAAAAAGATGATTAACCAGGCAGCCATTTATTCGTTCAAGACAGGAAGTGATGGTTGCAGCCTTGTATTTAAAGGTTTATTTTAGCAAACAATGTTAATTTTCCCAGCTGGTGTTTGCTGCAGCTGGACTCCTTCCCTGCTTACAAGTTTACATGATCTTATGGAAAATGACCCAGGATCTGATCTCTTGGTCACAGAGAGGTGTCGTCTTCTGCGTCTACCTGACTGCAAAGCAACTACTTATCCCATGCCATTTCTCTCCTCAGCATTGCATGATGCTCCCCGATCTCTGGGCAAAGACAGCTGGGATAGTGCGGGCCACTGTCACTGCCTCTTCTGCCTGAGTTTCAAGTGGATTGAAGCACCCTCATGGGATCCTTCTGGTTGGTAGGGTGGGAAGCCTGCAGCAAAGGGTGGCCGGCTGGGACAGTTGAGTGAGAGCTGTCGGGTCCAGCAGAGACCATCCTTCTGTGGCTAGAGATCACCTTGTCCCTCTGCTCTGGGTGCTCAGTGTAGTGGACAGCCATGAGCTGTACCTTTTGACTCCACCGTCTACAGCCACCTCACTTCCAGTTTGCCTGAGAAAGGAAGCAATTTCCTGTGAAACTGGAAAACTGGCTTGTGCTAGACAGTCGTGTTGTTCTAAGGGTACTGCTGCAGTTGAAGTAATTAAACCCCTCCCAGTGTAGACATGGTTAGGCTGAGACATGTCTTTTAGCCTGGTTTCCTATGGAAACGAGCCTTATGCAGTCCTCCTGTCAGCCTTTCTCCCCCTCCTCCCCCCCCAGTAGTTTTTGCACTGGTTGGCCAATTTCAACCAAATGCGACAAAAGTCTCCAAGCCGTCAAGTATTTACAGATTTCACAGAGATAGGTGTTTGTATAGAGTAGAGGGACTCTGTCGGACCCTGCCTCAGAGGGAAAGGCTGCAATGAGGTTTTGACTTATACTGGTCACTGGAGAATCCCAGCATGGAGGAAAGCTTTGAAATGCCTCTGCCATGGGAACAGATGGAGTTGGAGTCTGCACCTGTATAAAACGTTGCCTTGCAAACACAGCCGGATCAAACTCAGGAGCAGTTAATTTTGTCTAGGTGCCTGCCCTATTCCTCTGCTGGAAATCCCCTTCCCAGGGCAGTGGGACTGAGCCATGTAGGAAAGACAGCCTGAAATGCTGCTGTTCATAGCCTGGTTTAATAAAATAGCCTTAAAGGGGTACTGTTAAAATACTCTGGCTGCAAGGGCTGGTGTTTTAGAAGCTATGCCTGCTGGGAGAGGCAGATGGTTGGAGGCCATAATAGCTTCAGTTAGTCCACATGTAATCCATGTGTGTTTGGAGTCAGCATCCTTGGAGAGACAGACTGGGCGACTCTGAGAGACAGCTGCAGTAACCCAGACTTAATCCTGGTGCTTGAAGGATGTGCTGCTGATTGCCTGTGGTTTCAGCAGTACTGGGATCTGGAGACAGGAGGGAAGTCAGCAGAGTTTCTGTGGTTGTGACCAGTTAGCTCCAGTGCAGTACTGGCCACGTGCTGGAGTGGTTTGCACCAAGGTGTTTGACTTGCTGGATCCAAGAGCCTGGGCTTGGAATCAGTTACTGGGCAAAAATTGAGCCCCAGTGATGTGTTCTTGGGTAGTAGACAGTGTTTGCAGTTGTGGCTGAAGCAATGGCATGGGACGTGTGGGTAGGAGGTGGCATGTGGCTGGGTAGGCTGGTAGGGTGAAAGCTATGCAGGTTGGGGTGGAGGCCAGCGGTTGCTACCGTTTTCTCCTGCAAATCTGAAGTGGGGAAATCCTCCATCCCCTGCATTGCTCTCTGAGGACACTTCCAGGCAATAGCTTTTCCTCTGAGATGACATTACTTCAGCCCATGGCATTTCTCCCCGCCTCATCCCTATTTACCTAGTGGTGGAAAACCCTGTCCTGACCACTGGCTGCAGGTGGGGAGACCACTGACTATGCACTGCTTACAACCCTGCAATGAGCAGGGATTCCCATACCCCTACCCTGCAAGGGCTTGCAGGGACCTTGCCTGGGCTCACAGCCCATGTGGAGGTAGTATAGCCATGTGCAGACAGCCTGGCCTGAGTTCTGTGCTACTGCAGCTTAGCCAGAAAACATGCAAACAGCGAGCGGCTTTTAACTCTCCCTCTTGCTGAGACAATGTTCACTGGAGCGTTTTCCCTTGGTGATGTCGGAGCTGTTGCTGATTATCTGCAGGCATTTCATTAAAAAAAGACCAACTTTCTTCTCTCCTTTTTTCCAAAAGTTGCTGGTTCTGTCTGCTCGTGTCTTTTAATAAGTGTGTTATGAGTAGGGGTAGATTTCTGGTGGAGATCACGCAGGGCATCATTTTCCCATCCTGAAAAAGGTGGAAACATGTGGAAGTGACTGGAAGACAACATCTTCTGCCCCAGTGGGAGTGGTGGTTGCTATGGAAGGAGAAATGTAGATCTCGGAGGGATATCCTCCCCTACCTACCTGATGCAAAAGGCCCTTGAAATAACTACAGTACAAAGGAAAAGGTATTTCAAAGTCGGCTTTGGGTCCTCTTGGCTGTGTTCAGGCACTGTTTCAGCTCCTGATCAGGTGCACGTTTTGCAGCAGAGAGGCTGTGATGCATGTCTGTCAGTAGCCAGGACATTCAGCGAGTGCCTTCAGGACAGCAGTGGCTCTGCTCCTTCTCTGAAGTTCCTTGGAGAACAGCTTGTGTGTGCATCTGCCTCGCTGGATGAGCAGAGTAACCAAATTGCATCCTCTAATTCCATCATGGCCTTCTGGTAAGATCCATGCATGTGGGCAACACAAGGGTGGTGTCTGTCCCTGTGCTGACATAAATGAAATTAGTCTGTAATGAAGCATCTTCCCCTCAGGTTCAGAAATGTAGCCCTCCCTTCTGCTCGTCCCCCTGCTCTGGCTGCTTCTCCCTGTCTGTCTAACCTTCCACCAGCTCCAGATGTGTCTGGGTACTGCCCCGGGGCTGTTGGTCACCCCTCCCCAGCAAACCCTGCCCCATGTCACTCCAGCTCTGGCTGACAGCTGCAGTGGCCTTGCTACCATTTTCCACAGTGGCTTTATGAGGTGCTGACACTCCCTGTGCCCGCATCAGTGTTATTTTTGGCACTTTGCTTCAGGCTGAGATGCTCATCTTTTGACTTGAAAGTCTAGCTCCTGCCTTTTAACTTGGAAGAGGAAAAGGGCAGGATTTGAATCTGAAGGTTTCAGCCACCTGAAGAGCCTAGAAAGACAGGATATTTTATCACTTATATAAACACTGTTTTTTCCCACTATATAAAAAGCTTCTGTTCCTTCTGTCTGCTTGCACATTCCTGTGAGAGGTCTGAAATCAGAGATTGCCTTGGATTTGACTGTAACAGGAGTGTGAGTTGCCCCATCAGCACTCTGCAGCCCAAGTGGAAGGCTGCAGCAGAGGTCAGGTGGCGAGCACAAGCTGTTGAGCTCTTGTGGCTCCTTGTCCTTCACATAGACATCTGATAACCTGTGTCGCTTTGGGTAAGGTGCCTCATACCTCTTTGCCATTCCCTGTTACTCCCCTCCTCACACACCAGACTCTGTGCCAGATGGTGAATGTTTTAGAAAGCTAAATGTCTGGAGAGGAGTGTTTTTCATCAGCAAACCTCACAGGTCAAGGGCTTCACCAGTCCCTGCAAGATGTCTCTGCATCTCTCTGCAATGGTACCAGTGGTGCAGGAGGGGATGTTCCAGCTCTTCAATGAATGGCTGCTATACTCAGTGACTCGCAACTGGTGATGCCTACACTGGTCACTAGCCAAGGCTCATTAAAAAAAGTCTCACCCCTTAGCTGCTCTAAGCTGTCTTTCCTTTCAAGTAGGCACAGAGTTAGAGTTGTCCTGGGAGTGGATGAGTTACAGAAATAATTGTTGATTTGTGTTGAAGTGAACTGCTGGATCAGCAGAGTGTAAAGGCTAACCCAGCCTCCAAGCCCCTGCCTTGGGAGCAGCTGTTCTTTGTCACTCTCTGCAGGGTGATGTCCAGAGAAAAGCTTACTTTGCAAAGGGAGTTCCTGGGACAGCACAGATTCGAGGAGGAGTCAAAAACTGTTTAAAATGTCTGTAGGCTTTAAAAATAATCATGGTATATGGATGTGATGGCATGCTGTGCAGTTGGGTCTGTGTTATTGGGGTGGTTGCAAAAGACGTGCACATAGGCATAGTAGCAGTGTCTGAGCTTACTAGAAATCTTGGTGTTGGAGATTCTCAGGTCATTCTTTCATTGCATTAAAGTACTCGTTGGGAAATGGGTTGGGATTAAGGAGTAAAAAACTGGCTTGTGCTGGTAAACAAAAGCTGAGATATGAGGTCCACCATGCTTGTCCTCTGCCTCTAAATGCATAACATAGAATGCATGTGCCGAGATTTTCCCATAGCAATCCAAGGTGCTTTTAACTACAGTTACTGGAGTCACAGTTATGTTTGTCTGGAGTGGTTTGATTTTCCCCTGATGAGTGGAAAGCTTTCACTGATAAGAGGGGAAATCCTAGTTCATGCAAGGTGTCTGCCTCCTCTTTGAAGTTAAAAATGTTCCCTTGCGAGGGTGGGAGCAGAGAGAGGAGATGAGGTGATGTGATCCAGTCAAAATCAGTGGCAAGAATCAGTGTTAATTTCTGAAAGGACTCTCACTTCTAATTTCTTTTGTCTATTTAAGCCAGTGAAGAAAAAGAAGATAAAACGTGAGGTTAAGATTCTGGAGAACCTACGTGGTGGCACCAACATCATTAATCTGATTGACACTGTCAAGGATCCAGTGGTAGGTGCCTGTGTGTTGCGGTGTGTGTAGTGGGCTTGCCTCCCCACCAGCTGCAGGCACAGGGCAGGCACTGCTGCATGACTTCTGCTCTCAGCTTGGGTTAGGTGCTGCCTGTGCCTTTGTGCCAGCCAGGGACGAGCAGTGTCCAGCTCATCAGGGTCTCCTGAGGTGGGTTGGTTTGGATGAGCTCATGTTTCTCTCCATGTTCCCCAGACTCTTTTACACACCTTCTGTGTCTCTGCGCGTTTCCCATGGCTGATGGGGGAGAAGTTCTGTAGCCTGACAAATTTTCTGTAAGAAAGCAGAGCCTGTAGCCTTCCAGCTTCTGTCTGGCATCTGGAACATAAGTATCTGCCAGGGCAATTGGATATTAAGCACTTTTCATCCTTCTGGTTGCTGTCCTGCACGGTGACCATATCCTTTGTCTGCATTGCCACGATTACCCCATTCTCAGGAAGTTTTCTCTGACTAGCAGCTGGCTGAGGTCTGTGACTCCCAGCCTGCTGGCAGCCATGGAAAGGAAATGACCCTGCTGTAGTGTTGGCAGTCCTGGCTGACCTTCCTCCTGCGATGGGATGTGAAGCCTTAGCCCCTGGTGACACCTTTTGCCTTGCCCAGTGCTGTCTCTGCTCCGTGGCTTGGGGAGGAGCAGCACTGGCCAAAATGCAGTGTTGGTGCTTGCTGTGTGGGGTATCAGCAGAGCTTGCCTCTGCCTACTGCGGGAGCAGGGCTGTGTTTCTGTTGCTGTACTGTTCTGCCCGCTCTCCGCAGTGAAGGTTGAGCAAGAAGCATAAGCTTTCTCAGGTCTCTTGGAGCAAAGAAAGGTCAAGAGGGTGATTTAAACCATGACACTCTCTCTCTCTCTCTCTCTCTCTTGCAGTCAAAGACCCCTGCTCTGGTGTTTGAGTACATCAATAACACAGATTTTAAGGTGAGTCTGCCTGAGCGTGGAGGGGGGAGGTTCCCATTTCTGTTATGAGTGCTGTGATCTTGGGTTGTCAGACACCCGTCGAGAGCTATGGGGGGAGTTTGGAGTTTCACCTACGTCAGCTTCACCTTCCTTTCCCCATGTAAATCAGAAACCTGTAAATAGGCTCTAGGTGAGAAGAAAATGCTTGTGTGCTGAACATCCTCCCAGCTTTGAGGAGTAAGTTCAACAGGTTAGATATTCTTACTCCCCTCTCAATTTAGTAATTACTGCTGTGCTAGATATTCAGCCCAAGTTAAGCCCTGTGCTGTGATGCTCTATTTACAGTAGTGCAGTTGATGGAGCAGGTGACACTGATTTGTGCTGGAATCCTTCGGACGTGGGGACTGTGGGGTGACAGAGGCTGGAGAGCATGTTTCCCACTGCCAGTGGGCCTGATAGTGGGGGACTGAGCAGTCTCGAATACATCTTAAGAGCTTTTCTGCTTACCAGAGGCTGCAGCATATTCTTCTGATTTGTGGGGAGCTCCAAGTGGTATTACTGCTTCCCAAAATGGGCATCCTTCTGTCTGAGTGCAGCTATGACTGCCTGTGCTACTGAAATGCTTCTGGCTGACAGCAGCAAGCTGGTACACAAAAGGGAGACATAATTAGCAACCACACCTATTTTAATGGTATCTTTGCTTCCCCCATGTGAATCTTTACCCTAAGTCATTAAGTCAGTGGTGGAGAATTAATTGAGCAGTTGACATTAGAAAGCCAGCAGTCATCCCCTCCTGTGCTGTTCAGCAATCTCTTTCATTCCATGTTACGGGACAGTACTTTTTTTCCTTCTGTCTGTGCCAGAGCATTATGTAGGTACACACCTTGTAGAATGCAGCTTCAGCAGATAGACCAAACACCCAGAGAAGGTCCCTGGGTTGGTGTTGATGGAAAGGAGGCAGTTTGTCAGCTGGCCCACGGACTGTCTCACCTGCAGCCCTGCACACTGTGAGGCAGCACATGTTGTTTCTATCCCTTTGGATAGACCAACCTTTGGGGTTGGTCTGGCAAGCTGAATCCTGCTGGGTTGGGACCCTGCGCATAGCCAGAGCTGCAGCCATGCTGGCGGCGGTAGTCTTAGTGCTATTTAATCTCATGTAGAGACTTAATGCAGAGGCTGGGGGGGGAAATTTGGGCAACATCTGCCCCGACAA